ATATTCCAGATTTTTAACTCTATGAGGAAAGGTCTGAGGATGTGTAGAAATAAAATGAAATGAATGGAGTGAACTTCCTACTTCTACATCATGTGGGATAATGAAGACGGCAACGCCATGCAGGGTACATTAGCCTGCTATTTTTCGATTTCCAACTGAAGAGAGATCAGTGCACAGTCTGTAGCGCACGGGGCCTCGGTTTACTGTCAGATCTGAACAACTCTAGACGCTTTTTCCAATCAGCCCATCTTACCTGCATCACTGACAGGGGAAAAACCGGATTGAAAAATACGAAGTATTATCTCGGTCCATGCCGGAATTGATCCATTGGCCTTTAGGTTGGCGAGCAAGCATCTAACTCACTGAGCCACTGAGGATGTGTAGAGGGAAAATGAGTAGCCTAACTACGAGAAAAACGAGTCGTCATTATAATTATTTAACATTTATGCCTTAATAAGATCCTTATTTTTAAGTGTATGTGTGTAGTTATGTTAAATACATGTAGATTGTGATTATGTAGTTTATATGATTGTGATAATATATATATATATATATACATGTATCGTAAACTAGTCATTTAATTAGCACTGTAGTAAGTAATAAGAATATCTAAAAGTTTTTGTCTATGTAAAATGTTAATAGTATTTATTGTTTTCGTTTATTTATCTCTATTGAGGTATATACATTAAATGTTAATTTTTCCACTTGATCTTCTGTATTTTTTTCTCTATTCCACTGCCATGGACTAAAATTCTTACTGGTTTTACCCTCCCCAACACCTATACCACACTGGTGTCTATTATTCTACATATAACTATCACTATATTCAGCAACACTCTCGCTATTATGGTCAACCCAATAATCAACAGTCTCGTCAACCGAACTATCAACAATATCGTCAAACGAATTGTCAACAGTCTCGTCAACCGAATTATCAACAGTCTCGTCAACCGAATTATCAACAATCTCGTCAACCGAGTTATCAACAGTCTCATCAACCGAATTATCAACAGTCTCATCAACCGAATTATCAACAATCTCATCAACCGCATTATTAACAGTCTCATCAACCGAATTATCAACAGTCTCATCAACCGAATCATCAACAGT